CCAATATATACCTGGCCACAACTGCAAGGTATCCGGTATACTCCTGCAGTGATGAGGGGGTCCCTTTTGTCCTTTGCTGACCGTAACATTTGTTGTCATTTTGTGGTGGGCCTGAACACTGTTTGTTGGTTATGTTTTTTCAAAAGCTTCCACATGCGGTCCATGACCCCTTTGATGTATGGCAGAAATACTTTATTTGTGGGTGGCTATTTTTCTTCTTCAGTTCGGTGAATAGAATCTTTAGTAAAAGGCAAAAGATTTATGCGATCTGAAGAGAAAGCAGAGTATGTTTTCTCAGTTTGATGGCTCTATAGTTTTCTGTAGACCTTGTGTCCCAATAGGAGGTCAGGTTTGCATATGACCATGACATCTAAGAAAGGGAGTTGGCTCTCTGTTTCTTTTTCCATGGTGAATTGTATATTTGGGTGGATGCTATTGAAATGGTTTAGAAATTCTTCCAGTTTTTCTTCACCGTGGTTCCAAATTGCGAAGGTCTCATCCACGTATTGGAACCAGACTGTGGGTGTGAAGGGTGCCAAAGCCAGGGCCTGTTTTTCGAAATGTTCCATGTAGACATTCGCTATAACCGGACTGAGGTGCTCCCCATGGTCACTCCATCTGTCTGTTCATAGAAATCCTTATCCCACTGAAAGTAGCTGGTCGTTAGGCAGTGTTGGAAAAGGGACTTGATGTCTTCTGGAAAAAAGCCCCCTGATCATAGGAAACACCCAATTTCCTGAAAAGGACAAAAAGCTGATCCCACAGCTACAAATACTCAACTATCCCACACACTACACCAGAACACAGAGTTCTAAACTCCTGTCCTCTGAAGATGCCAGCCTCAGAGACTGGCGAAACGTTAGGAAGAAAAGCCTCCAGAACATGGCCAAACAGCCTGAAAACTTACAACCATCAAAGCAAAATTTTGTTGGTTTTTGTTCAATAAAAGCAAATATTGCTTCTTTAATCACACTCCTTCTGTTTGCTGGATATACCTTGTTTTTGCATTTTATCTTTTTATTTTTATTTTTTGTAAACTGCCCTGGAGGCTTTCTTGAAGTGAGAATATTATTTATTATTAAAATACATAGTTTGTCAACAGGTTCTATGGTCAGAATTGCTATATCCAATTTTAATACTGTGGGTAAGGTCTAAGAACCAGATTCCGTTTTAAGCTTTCCATTAAGGCTTTTTTTGGGGGGGGGGCTGGTCTGGCACAGTGTGTCAAATTATGGAGTGCTTGTAAAATGTTGGTGAAACCATGCTGGCTGGGGGGGGGATTCTGGGAGCTGTAGTCCAAAAATGTCTTTCTTAAGCTCTGGTATTAGGTAGAAGTCATCCTAAGGACGGACAGGTGGTTTTAACGTCAGTTGTTTGCACATTTCAGTCAGCTGATTCTTCCATTTTAGTTCACTTGATCCTGTGTTTACCTGTGCATGAGCTTTCTTTTCCCTTGCACTTATGGCCACCCCATGAATGATGCAGCAGCTTCCGCTCTCATTTTCCTCAAAAGTACTTCAGAGCAGTCTGTGCAAAGACTTTCGCATCCTCCTGAGGAGGAGAGCTGTAGCCACAGAACACTTATGTAACAGCTTCAGATGCTTTTCGTTTCCCAATTTTTAATCTGCTCAGCTGCTCTATCTTTGCGTGTTGCAATTGGCAGGACTTTTGTCAAACTGTTACAGATTAGCGCTGGGGCTGTAACCCCGTTAAAAGCCTGGCTGTGTTTATTTTCGTCAAGAAAAGGGCAAAAACCAGGTTCACATGATCAGACTGAGATATTAAACAGCCTCGTGTGGATAAAAGGTATACCTCGTGAGTTGCATTTTTATCCAAGTACCTACCGGGCAGATAAGATTGCTCGGTGCACTGACGCTGGTAGGAACGCTGGAGGGAATTTATTCTTAAAATATTTACAGTCACGGATATCTGTAAATACAAAATACCAACAGGCAGGAAATGGCACAACTAACTGATTCTTCATACCCATTCAACCTAATGCCAGGAAGAAGATTTACAGATTAACCATGTATTTTACAAGGTAATTCTGCATATGGAATTTTCACTACAATGAAGCCGCATGCAATAGAGAAATTAGGACGGCCACATTCAAATGAGGACAGGGTTTTTGCATTTTAATAGTTTAATTTCCTTTTCTGTACAAGAATTAAAAATGTAAAAGGCCTCTTTTTGCATTAACCAAAACCAATTCTGACTCTTTCTCTGTATTGAACATTTATTTTGTTTTTATATATATATATAAATAATCCCTAGTAAAAACTATTCAGAAACAAAAGCAAGACATTTCTTCCTACAGGAGGACAGGAATCAGTGCAGGAACTCCAGAAAGCATAAGGAAACCTTGTTGACACTTTTTTCCTCACCAAGTGGCTTTTACTTTGTAAAATCCAGTCCACAGCTATTAGCTGCTAAACCATCTTCCACCTTGACAGCCAGCCAAGCCCCGTTCCAGAATGACAGAGTACTGCCGAGGCTGATCTGGTTAGTGCTCCTGCACGCTATTTAAACAAAACATAATCTGACTCAAGCTGACTATATATGGAAGTGCCTGACCAGCAAAAAGCTTGAGATGCTGGACTGGGAGGGAGTGTAGTAGATGTTCTCTCTCCACTCATGTAACTAAAATAGGCTTTTGGTAGCAAAGGTCAAATATCCAGTGTGACCCACCATTTCCCTGGGCGGTACACCACTTTTAAATTGCACAGTTCCCTGCTGAAGATTTGCAACACATGGGACATCCTGATCTGTCTGGGTGCCTCTGTCAAATGCTGCCGTGGAATCATCCTCGGTTGCTCTCCCAAGGTCAGGGATTTGCAGGCTAACTGTCCTGACGTTGTACACTCTGAGCAGGATCTCAGAAGTATTAATTTCAGTAAAACCGTGTTCTTGTAAAGCCAGGCAGGTCCTTTGAACTTGTTCAATGCATGGGGAAAAAGAACAGATGCGTCCACCTACAGAAGGAGAGAGAGGGACAAAAAGAGAAGAGAGAATGAATGAATGAATATATGAATGAAGTGCCACAACTTCAATAAGCTCATTTGAACTCAGTCATCTAAACTGGCTAAATAAATAAACTGCAATTCTGTGAAACATTCATGTTCAAAGTAGCTTCATTAATGTCAGTGGATCCACTTCTCTAAACCTTTGTTGATTTATTTTTACCTGCATTACATCAGTAGATCTCAGGATGAGATACAGTAAATTAAACACCAGTTTGACACACAGTCATAAATCTATGTCAGAAACCCCCAATCCAGTCTGAGATCAACAATGGCAAGTCTGAACCAAGCAACTGTTACGAAGACTTCAAAGCTAGCTCTAAATCTAGGATTCTAATGAGACCATCATTGGAGTCAGTTGGGTCTCACAGAGGAAGACATTTTCCAACCAAAGTGCCAGAGCTGTTGGAACCTCATGGTGCAGTGATTAAACTTCAGTACCACATCCAATACTCTGCTCATGGCCCAGGTTCAATCCCAAGGACAGGCTTGAGGTTCACTCAGCCTTCCATCCTTCTGAGCTCAGTAAACTGAGTACACAGCTCACTGGGGAGGGCAATGTGTAGCCTGCATAATTAAATTGTAAATTGTGGACAGAGTGCTTTAAGTGCTATGGGGAAGTATATTAGCAGTTGGAAATTGTTTGGATTTCTGGTTTATTAGTAAAAAGGAAAAAAAGACTTAAACCCTTGCTACTACAGAGTGTGTGTCATATGCATGTGATAGATCAACATGCAAAATTCCAGGCAGAATCTAGAGTCTTGTGTCACTGTCACACTAGATGTTGTTCCAAGATCATGTTACCATTGTCTCTCGAGACTGAAGGATGACTGTCATATGCATGTGATAGATCAACATGCAAAATTCCAGGCAGAATCTAGAGTCTTGTGTCACTGTCACACTAGATGTTGTTCCAAGACTTCTATTCAGAGCACGTTACCGTTGTCTCTCTGTCAAGAAAAAATAGGTTTATTATGGCTTAAGCCTTGTGGTCCTTGCTACAGCTAATTTCATCAGAGGCATGAAGTCTCGTCATGGAGCTTATTTGGATTATATGGATTATAACTCTCAGAGTCCCCCCAGCCGATGAGTAGGGAGTTGTATTTAAGAAATATCTTTCCTAATGATATTTTGGTGAGGAGAGGGATTGTAAACAGTAAAGTCAGAGTGGAAATTTACTTTATGAACCATATTGGAAGCTGCTACCGTACATCAACTGATTTGGGAGTAAGCCCCAATGAGCCCAATGCCTCTTAAGTCAAGGAGGACACAGTTCAGACTGCAATGTTAAAACATATTACTGCATCACTCCCCCTCCATTGCCCACACAACCCACTTGTCTCTCATCAGCCAGAGGCTGCTGGAACAGGCTATAGCTCATCCCTGTGTATTGTCCCTGATCAGAGCTTCACCTCCTAGACTCCGTCCTCCAGATGTTAGCACCTCATTAAAAGAGGCTGTGACTTTCTCAGAGATGCCCTTCACGCCTTCCTCGGCAGCTATAGATGTCAGATTTGAGTAAACAGGGACAATGTTGTTCTTGTTCTCCTATGAGGGATCACACATTATCAAGGCCACTCTGATTTTGAGTGCAGCATCCCTAATCAGTGACACCGCACTGCATCTTATCCTTTAGTGCAACACAAGCTACTTTGGAGTGGGGGCGGGCTATTATGGTCCAAAGGGAAGGCAGTCTCATTACTTAGTACCTCACTCTTCCAAAACCAAAAACATTTCTAAACCAGAGGGAAATGCAGCCAAGATCGCCAATGGTGGTGGTGATGGTGAGGATGATCTGAGCTGCAGGCTAACCCTTGGAAGGCCACAGGTTGTCTGCTCCTGTTTCAAAGAGTGCATGTGCACAAATCTAATCCACACTCCTCTTTTTCCTTTCTTTCCCTCAAAGGAAGACAGGTACTGCATAACCTCTTCTAATCTTGAAAATTGCCCTTTAGGGATGTCTCAGAATGGCCTTTTCTTTGACACTGCTCAAAGCCGATGTTTAAAAACAACAATAAGAATTAATCGCGCTCAGACAGCTGCCTGCAGTCTCAGCAGAAGGAAGCACATCTTTTCCAGGAAATACAAAAATGGCATTTCTGGGGAGACAAGGGTCTAACTGAAGCACACGTGCTTCATGTACTAGTGGTATTGCAGTTTCTGCTGATGTTTAGCATGCAGACAAATACCAGCAGCATACCAGATAAGGACAAAGGACCCATCATTCTTGTATAGCCGCCTAGAGTGGTTGTAAGACCAGATAGGCGGGAAATAAATAAATAAATAAATAAATAAATAAATAAATAAAGTATAGCTGACTGTTAAGTCTCAAATCAAGAGTCTTCCCATTTCTGTTCTATTTCTATTTAAAACTTGATGGTGGGCTGGGGGGGGGTTTGAAGAAACAGAAAGAAAGAAAGTTGTGAAATTAATTGTCTTCATTATTTAATTTTGAGAAAAGCCCTTGTTCCCTTGCTTTATTATTTTGGTGGGGATTCCCTCCTTAAACAATGTGTTGTAAACACACAACTAGAGTGTGCATGCTTGGTGTCATGACCCTCACAGGATCAGCTTTCACTCTCCTCCACTTCATAAACATTTGAGTACTGTTGTACCAGTACTGGTATATATATAGTGGTGCCTTGCTTAACAACGTTAATTCGTTCCAGCGAAATTGCTGTAGAGTGAAAATGTCGTAAAGCGAAAACAAAAAAGCCATTGAAATGCATTAAAACCCGGTTAATGCATTCCAATGGGCTAAAGACTCACCGTCCAGCGAAGATCCTCCATACGGCGGCCATTTTCGGTGACTGTATAGCGAGGAATCAGTCCCTAAGCACAGCGGGGAGCCATTTTGAGCAGCTGACGGCCATTTTGAAAACCCGACGATCAGCTGTTTTGATCGTTGTAATGCGAAGAATCGGTTCCCAAAGCAGGGAACCAATCGTCGCAAAGCGAAAAAAAACATTTAAAACATTGTTTTGCGATTGCAAATACATCGTTGTGAAGCGGATTTGTCGTAACGCGGGGTAATCATTAAGCGGGACACGACTGTAATATATAACAGGTACCTCAGTCAGTCCTGCAAGCAACTTTCAATGAATGAGTTCTTCCTACTTTCCTCTGTGTTAGGGTACAATTTATGGAAATGGGCTGCCAAGGGTTACAGAAATGAAAAAAAAGGAGAACCACTGCTCTAGAGGAATGAAACTTATAGATGTGTTGATTTGGGCTTGTGGTCTGCAATTTCCAAAATTCTGGGAATCGCAGTCCAAAACCACAAAGAACACACCCCTTGTCACAACTATATCAATAAAACATGATTAGTGGGTTTCATCTCTGCCAGAAGGAAGGCTTTTTTAAAACTAAAGGATTCTAACGGTCTATTCGAGAACAAGCTGCCACAGATACTTCACATTATACTAAGGACAGCTCATAATAACAATATTATATTGTTAATATAATAATCCCCTCCTCCATGCTACTGTGAGGGGGTAGCCACAGCAGTTGATCTTATCATTCTTGCTAATTAAAAAGCTACACTGTTTTGACCTTCCGAGCCCTGACTCTAGTGGCTGAAGTTTTAGTTTTACAGTGAGTCAGGTGGAAATGGAGAATGATAGGAAGAGAGTAGAAATAATGAAGCCTTGGTTGAGAAAGTGTTCCTTAGGGAAAAATTAGGTGAAATCCTTCCACAATATAAAGAATACAGTACTGGCTACTCTCAGCTGAGAAAATGAACTATGCCAGTTCAGAATGCAGGTAAAGAAAAAAAACAAAAACATCTTGCATAACCATTTTTCTATGGGTAAAAAACTGTAATAGCAAAAACAAGGTGGACACATTCTGATGCACAACTTTTTGGAAAAATATGATAGGATTTTGGTTTTTAAAACAACAACAATAGAGGAACATACCAAACAGGCACCCCTTCTACTGGTACAGCCTGAAGTGGCACAATTCAATTTACTATATACAATGTGGGGTAGCAGACAGAGTAAGGGACTAAGATTCAGGAGACTTGGGTTCAAATCCTCACTCAGTCACAGAAACTCACTGAAAGTTAGAACTGGTAAAACCACTTCTTAAAAAAACTTACCTTGAACGCCTATTAGAATTGCTGTAAGTAAAGCCCAACACGACAGTATATAACACACACCATCTATCAGCTCAGAACTCTGTCACTTTATTCTGTGTCATGCTAAACTTTTCCTCCAGCCACTTTTTAAAGGGTTACTTCCAGAGGTTCTTAGGTCTAATTCTATTACCTACGTTATTTACGGTAGATTAGATGTGGGCAATGTGGGTTGGCTTGGGCCAATGAAAGTGGAAGTGCTTGTCATGAGAATCCTCATAACCAACTCACCTCAAAGGAGTGCAAACAGGAAATCCGTTGGATCAGTCCAAACCAAAGAGAAGCAGGTCCTTTGCAAAGTGAATGGCTCTTAATTGCCTATTCATAACCAATCCACCCTCTCTGCATTACTACAGAGATAGACTGCAACAAGAGATTGTTCCTGAGAAAATCCACTTCTCTCACTCCTATTGTGAGGTTTGCAGCTTAATTCAGGGGTAAATGGCAAATAATGTCATAGATCCTGCTACCCCAAACATTTCAGGGGCTTTGACCCTATGAACCCTGATTCCACTGTACTGCTTGGAGTTGGTAGAGTCAATGTTTCAGCCACAGCACATGACATGAATTGCAGAAGGCTGGAAGTGTTCCCAAATGATAAATAAATTGGAAGGGGGAGGATCAAAACAGTTTTCTGACTTTGCTCCTTGCTCTCCTTCACAGCTCTGCTCTTTAATAAGTCCTACTGAATTCATTGGGGCTCGAAATCCTCACACAGGAAACACTTTCCATTTTCAAACTCTTCTGAGAATCTATTGTAGAAGTCCTAATAAATGCACTATGCCCCAAACAACAGTATACTGACTTCAACTTCTGT